CTTCTCTTCAAATTCTTTAGCCGCTGCTTTCTTCTCTGATATATATTCTCTCTCTACAACATCATGCATGTGATCTCTATAAAAAGAAAAAAAATTAACTCAATGGGAACAAAAATTTTCTTTATAATATCAATTTAATAGATAAATAAGATACTGAATGTGCATACAAGTGAACTCAGATATAACACTATATCAAAGTAAAACATTTATGTCTGTCCACTTTTTTTATTTTTAAACTATATATACCAAATTGTAGCTTATTATATGTACAAATCTGGTTGTAAGTGGTGTTGGTAACACCGGTGGTGAGCTGGAGACAGTCGCAGATTAGTTTAAAGTTCAGCTTAATTTTTTTTTTAATAGAGTTGTGGATAACAGCTATTACTTAGTAAAAAAAACTAACTTATATATCTTGTTAAGTCTTAATCTCTCATGTAGTTGATGCTCCAGCCTTTTGACCCTCCTCAGGAACTCTGGATGTACTCCATCTTCTAACTGCTGTAGTTGCTTTTTTAGATTTACTAACTTATCTTGATACATTCTGAAATATATTTACAAATACATGAATCTATACTAATATTATAAAGAGGAAAGATTTGTATTTTTAGATTTTTTTTATGTATTGAAATAACTCAAAAACTACTGGACTGATTTCAGAAATTCTTGCAACATTAAATAGCTATGTATTCATTGAGTTACATAGGCTACATTTTTACTATTTTATTAACTTAACGCAGGAGAAGTTGCTAGCAACAGCTAGTATTTGATAAAACATCTGTATTATTAAAAAGTGATCTACTTATTTTATATCAAGCTAAGATATATGCAATGAGATTAAGGGCTTGTTTTTGTCTTAGATAGTCTAAAATATGCATTTACTGTAATAAAACCTAGGTTTTATAATTATTAATATTTCTTTTATTTATTAAAAAATCGTTGGTAATTTTTTACAAAGTTTTTTATTGACAGTAACAGAATTTTTTCATGATCTTGACAGGAACAGGACAGGACAACTTATAGTTTAAGACAATTAACTTTGATATGAAAAAATATAACTTACTGTTCCTTGATCTCCACTGGTTCATCATTATTAGGTATATCTGTCTCACTTGCTTCTTCTGTATCTAAGATAAAAAAAATCATGGTTTTATACTCCAATGGGACAAAATTATTTTAACATTAATATATAAAATTCTCAGTACTAACCTTTACAATAATAATGACCATTGTGATAATTTTTAAGTGTGGATTTAAAAAGAGCCACATGTACATTTGTCTAATTTTCAACAAGAATGGTCCTTGGAAAGGTGAAAGCGAAGCCTAATCGAGCGTATTACGTCACCAACTAACCAGACACCAAAAGGCGGGAAGTATATAAAGTATGGTATAAATATTTTCTAACCTTATCAATATTACATAACCTCTGTTTACAAGCTTTAGACGAAGTCACTTGTCAGGAATAACAGGTTGTAGCATCTATGACAGTAATACAACGCCAAAATAGGCTAAATAGTTCGTAAACAAAACATTCTTACCTTCATCGCTGTCGTCGACTGGAGGTGGTGGTAACGGGTCCTCTTGATCCCTGTATTCATCTAAATCGTCGTACCCGTCGTCTTCGAAATCATAGTCGTCACCCGGGCCCGAATATGGTGATCCTTGGTAAGACATAGTCGAGGTAACGCGTAACAGTTGCATACAGATTGACTACAATCGCCGTCTCAGAAACAAACTCTGAATACACGCACTTGAATCAAGAGCTCGGGTGAAAAATTGCAACTGTTACTTATGTCACTCATAGAATGAAATTCCAATAAAACTGAAACTCTTCGTAATGAAACAACGAAGCTGGATCAAATTGAAGTTGTTTTACGTCAAATTCGACACATAAAAAAGCATCGTTATCCGTCCGAAATAAATATCAACAAAGAAAATATGCCGTGCTCCTCCCGCTTAAGTCATTTACGAGAGAATCCCTCAGGTGAGAAAGAGACACCAAATCCTGATCTACACAATTAGCAACACCGTAACGAAATATCATTATATCCATAGACAATTACAATAATTTTTTAAAAGGCCTTTTAATGGAATCGATTTTTATTGGAAATCGAATAACTTACTGCAATCCGAAAACTGGTGTCTTTTCTATCGCCTTTATTTTCTCACATTGCAATCTGCAATAAGTTTGTAAGTTACAAAATTTTAATTTAACATCTAATGTTGTAAACAGCATGGTCTAAAAATTTTTGTAGATCGACGAACTATTACAGACAAAAATATTCTTTTTAAATCCCTAAAGATGAGTATAAATTTAAATCCAGAACCTAATAATAGCATAAAATCGATATTTCAAAAAGAGCATGCGAAAGAAACTTCATCTAATGAATAATGATCACATAAATCTCGCCATTTCATTTACTCTTATTTTTATTGCAATTATAACACATTTATTGACATATTATAATTAAATAGTTAACACGATTTTTGAAAACGGTAGTATTTGTGTCCCTCACCGTCCGGAGTAATATCGTTAGGGCTGTGTAGGAAGTGTTTGTAACATTTTTTAGATGTTCGCATACAATTTTATTCACTCATACGCACGTAATCGATTGTCTGAAATATTTAAAAAAATATAATCTGTACGTTAGAGTGGAAATTAAAACAAAACCTTGTCTATTATTATGATTTGACGTCATGAGAGTGGACGTCATCTTGAATGAAAATTTCTAAATTTTATTATTAAATTAAATTCAAGATTTGTATGACCTGTATGTTGCGTGCCTGATATTTAACTTTATAAATTGGAAAAATAGTATAGTGATGTATATTTAATAAAAAAAACCAGTGTAAATTAAGTGACGCCATACGCTATTGTGTCAGTGATGTAATTTAGGTGATTGGGTGGCTTCCTCTCCTAAGTACCACAATGGAGGAATCTTCATTTACTATTCCAGCTGATGACAATGGTGATACTGAGCTCGATCCTAGAATACAGGTCAGTGAGTGACAATATATTGAATAACTTTAATTGTTCACCTTTGTAACTGCAAAGATGAGTGTCAACTTCGTAGATTATTTCGCCAACGAGCATTATGGATATGATATTTTATATCAAAACATGAAATTCGGATTTATAGCCAGCAAAGAACTCTCGGAGTATCTTAGGGAGCGGTCAAATATTGAAGAGACGAATTCTAAATTGTTGACTAAACTATCTAAACAGGCAAATAGTAATTGCGCACAGGGTACGTTTGCACCTTTCTGGACAGTTCTGAAATGTTCAGCTGAAAAATTATCCAATTTACATCAGCATATGTTCCAGAAAGTTGGTGAACTTGTCAAAGATGTAGCTCGTTATGCAGAGGAGTTACACAAAAAGCATAAAGCTGTTAAGGACTCAGAATCAAGTACATTAGAAGTTGTTTTACTAATACAAAGCACAAAGCAAGCATTACAGAAAGCTAAGGATGTGTACACATCTAAGTCAACAGAGCTCGAGAAACAACGCAAAGATAATGCATCTGCTAAAGATATTGAAAAATCTGAAGTGAAACTGAAAAAACTTCATGAGGACTATAGACAACTAGCGGAAAAGTATAATCTTGTTAAACAAGATTTTGAAAAGAAAATGACTCAAACTTGTAAACATTTCCAAGATGTGGAAGAAGCCCATTTAAAACAAATGAAACAATTTGTAAATGTTTACGCAGACATAATCCAGAACAACCATGACATGATGGGACAAGTTCATAGAGATTTTAAACATCAGTGCCTAGAGTTGACCGTTGATAAGTTGTTAGAACAGTTTCTTGTAGAAAAATATAATGCCATAGATAAAGCCAATCTTGTAGAACTGCCGCCAGCACTTCCTAAACCTGGTTCTGCAAATAATTCTATTTCAGAAGCAGATCAAATATCAACCATCTCTAATGGATCACATAAACCACAACCGGCTCCTAAAAATGTTGCTAAAAAGGATCAACAGTCATTTGTTACAAAAACATCCAGAAGAACTACATCTCTTCTTAATTTGTTTACACCAAATTTTCAAAGTAAAGATGAGCCTAGTGTTAGTGCTGAAGGTGCAGCACCATGCTCAGCTCCATCCAGTCCTAGCGGCACTTCTGCTACACCAGCAGCTCAGGATAAAGATGATAATATGGGACGATCAACATTCCGTGAATCTAAATGGTTTCGCAGTAGACGTACAAAAACTAAAAATAAGAAATTGAAAAAGAAAAAAGATGAAATTTCAGAGAATTCAAATGCAGGTGATAGGTCCGATTTAGAAGAGAAAGAGGAAGATGTGCCTACAAAAGATGATTTAATGAATTCCCCAGAGGTTGATGAGGAAGGGTTCTGTATAAGACCTAAAGATGAAAAAGGTAGTGTGTACTCTTCTTCTGACTCAGATTCTGAGGAAGAAAGAGAACAGAAGATTCATGTTGAGATTAAACCAATAAGTAATGGTAGTGCCCCCATGTCAGCCAGTGTAGATGAGTTGAGAGCCACTGTTGAAAATATCTCTTTATACAAAATTGGTACAACTCGCAGAGGCTCCAATGCAAACACAAGTAAAGCCAGTAGTGACCTCCTTGATATCAATTTCTTTCAAAGTCCAAACATCAGCAATCCAGCTTCACCACATGGTAATAATGCCTCTAACCCATATGCACCTTTGCAACCTAATCAGTCACATTTATTAGAAAGTCCTACTCCAGTTTCAACTGCCGATGTTGGGGATCTTTTCTCTGAAGTTGGAGACTTGGGGCAATCTAACTTCAGAACATCTACTCCTACAATAACAACTATTTCGCTCCCACGACCACCTTCACGGCGATCAGAAGGAGACTTCCGAGCAGCTGGATCTTCGGGATCTAGAGGTCCTTCTCCCCTTACAATAGGTATGGCAGATACTATACCCCTTGCTGTAGCTTTTCATGAAATTATTCACTCCTATTTTAGAGGAACTGAAGAGAGTAAATGTCAAGTGAAAATGTCAGGAGACATGATGTTATCATTCCCAACTGGTATAGTAGGTGTGTTAGCTAACAATCCCAACCCAGCAAAATTATGTTTCAGACTGAAAAATATACATAGACTAGACAATGTGTTACCTAACAAGCAGTTGATTAGCATTAACACAATGATGTCGACAAGAGATGCAACTGTTGTTGATTTCAACATGCCAGCGTTAACATCATTGTTGAAAAGACAATCTGAAAAGAATCCAACCGCTCAATATTTCAATGTAGATATATTAAAGTATCAAATACGACCGAAAACTGGAGCAGCGTCGTGTCCCTTTCAATTAGTTTCTTATTGGAAATGCGAACAAGATCACACAGATCTCAAAGTTGATTATAAATACAATCTTCATGCGATGAGTCCACCATCTCCACTTCTGAATGTATCAATTTGTGTACCAATTAATGCAGGTGTTAAGAATATTATAGCGATGCCTAAGAGTGTTTGGAACGGAGATAATGGTCAAGCATTATGGAGATTTACTGAACTGTCTCAGCACTCCGAAGATAGAGGGGTAGGGTCATTAAGAGCTCGGTTTGAACTGAACAATGGGCCGTCATCTAAAGGAACTATTTCAGCGCAGTTTAACTGTGAAGGGGCAACTCTATCCGGTATAGAGTTTGAACTAGTTGGTAGTGGATATCGCCTGTCTTTAGTGAAACGTCGTTTCGTTTCCGGCAAATACATATGTGATAGTGATTTTTACTGATTGGTCCAATTCCTTATGAATTAAATTGTAATGTTTCTTTCTATGTACAGAATGCTTATATGTAAAGCAACATTTGATGTGAATGTTTGTACCTTATAGGATTGTTTCCTGTCCATTTTAATTTACCTTTGGATTGTAATAAAAATGTCAATTGTTTTAATACTTAGTTACTAGATTAACATTTAATTTGTCATATAACTTTGTCTATATAAATTATTTCTCAAAATAGATGTGCCATTATACAGTTTAACATTTACATAATGTATGAAATTCCATTTAAATGGTATACCATTGCCAATTAAAACATTGCATGGTTTTACATAATTCATCTTTTAAGAGAGTATAAAAATTATAGCCCAATACCAATAAAAGCAAGCTTTAACATTTTGTGTAATTAATTCATATGTATTTTTTTTGTATCTTGAATATATTGTTTACTGAGGTCAATGTTTTAGCAGTGATTGACTTTCAATTAATTAATTTTTAAAAACAATAATAATTAACTTTGCCCTATAATAACTGCAATTTCTTTAATGTATAAAGATAAATTGTAATGTAAACAATCAATGACTTTGATGTTTTTGCACATTTTTTACATACTTGAAAAACGACAGAAATATAATATTGTGTATTACAACTTTTAGAGGCCTAAAAGTAATAAACGCCAGTTATGAAACAGATGCAACCATATAATGTTACTTTCGTAACTATTTGCACCAATTAAATTGGGTTCAATTAGATAAATTGTATGTAATTGAATCTCTAAAAGTGTTATGTACGTGTCATAAATTATAAAATCCCACGTCACAAGACAGCATTTAGAATTACGACCACCGTAAAAATGTTTTAGTTATTTTAAATTGTTAGGAGGATTTCTTTGCTATACATTGTAGCTAATATTATAAATTTACTCGCATGTAATCTCATTTTTTATGATTTGTTTAATTTTCTGTTATGTTATGTGGAAATATGTAAAGATTTTTTTTCTTAGTGGGTATTGTTTTAATGAGAAAATCATAACTAGTTCAAAACCTACTCTAGTACAACCGAACCATTCCATTGCTTTGTTATTTAACTTTTATACTAAGTTATATTTATTTATATAAATTAATTTCTGATTGGCAGTTTCTCACAGTCTCTTTTATCAAATTGAATAAAATCTGCGCTGTAATTGGACGATGAAAAAATGTGTATTGAAGTATTTTTGTATGGTAAAATTTACGGCATGTATTCTAGCGTATATGTTAACAATTTACATCATGATTATTTGGAATAAAAATGTAATTAATTATATATATTGCGATTTTCTTTCCATTGAAACATGATAGAAAACAATAAGTAAGTACATTTTTTTATTCTGTATCTCGCTTGTAGGGACAGGAAACATCTCCGTAAGGTACAGATAAGTTGGTTATCTTGAAAATGATAAGAGTTTTAGCGTTTGTAGTTGCGATGTTCAAGTTTCCCGTCTCTACGTGTTGCTTGCTGCTGCCACATGTGTGGGAGTATGAAGTACGAGTGCCCTGTGACTGTCTCAAGCTGTTCGTCAACTTTCAGGTTGAATTGGAGAAACTGAATGCAGCCACTGACGAAATTAATAAGCTCGAGCTGGAATTAGATGTGAGTTACATCATATATTTTTTTTTATTTAATTAGAACTGTATATATTTGATTATTGACTTATAGCCGTTTTCCGAGTTACATTTAAGCATTTATTTTAGTGTTTTTGATTTGATAACTTAACGAAATGCGTTTCCGAACTACGTAATTTTAGTTTTACTCCGCTGATTAGGTCAACCTAACACTAATTTTTTACTAGGTAATTTATCGATGAGTTAATTCCTTGAATGTTCTAGAACCATAAACTTTTAATTACTAAGCATAATTATTAATATGAGTGGTTACGCATATATTTATAAATAAAACCACTGTTAGATTATCCAGGTTATATAGAAAAATGTCTGTTTGTACAAATAAATAACAAAATCTACGCTCGTGACCTGATTATTTCCACCGACAATTAACGTATGTACACTTTTTATTAGCTGACCCCGTTTCCAATGGATTTCATTGGTCTTAATGAAATAGGAACAAAGTGTACTCTATATATAGTGTTACTAATTAATACTAGAAGTTAGCAGTACTAGAACTAGTCAGGAAATAACTTAATACTTGTAGTTAAATTTATTAAATGTTGATAATAGAAAAAAAACCGAAAGTCAAACATTTACCACCAACTCGTGATCATTGCATCACCTCAGAGATTTAAAAATAAACTCAATAAAATAAATGAAATTGTTTTCAATACGTAATATATTAAGTAAATTGGATCTTGATTTTGATATTTCATCTAAAATGTCATACTTTAACCTTGAAATAATCTCAATCTGAAAATTACGTAGTATAAGGGTATGTTCTCACTATCGACTATCGACTCGCGGCCTTATTGTGATATTCACTTTGAAACAAAGCATTAGACTAAACGCATATTGTCCACTTAACGTGAATAAGAGTGCAATCTATGGAATAAAACATGATTGACATGTTGGCTGATAATTTTATGTAAACGCGGTCTTATTTGCACAGACGTCCTACCAGGTTACGTCACAGTTGAAACTCATCCAGTTATGGCCGGACTCGAACTGGGCTGGGTACCGGTTTAGTGTCGGTTGCCTGCCTTATTAACTTTCTTAGTTAAAGAGAAATAAAGGTTTTTCTTCAGAACTTGTATATAAAACTAGATGTTTTCGTGCGACTTCATCCGCATCAAATTATAATAATTACTTTATTGTTTACGTTTGTCAAATGTAAAAAATAAATGACAACCTTGATCTATTAATGTTGGCAGCTTGTACTTAATGGTCCCTTTCCCACGTGAAGTTTTCAATTTACATGCCCCTTAAGTTTAATAGTGTGAAAATATATAGCCTAAAGCGTTTCGTAAGTGTAGGGCTTTTTATAAAAGAAAGAATTATTCAAAAATTTGCTGTGATTGCTGACATTTTACGCCACAAAGAAGTGTGTGTTTACGCTTTATTATAAAAGTATAGATATAGAAATAGAAGTATAGATTAAAACCTTTCACAAGACAGTAATTAATATATGTTTTTAATTACGTTTATAAGTTAACGTTAGTAAATACTACTGTTTGTACAATAAACCTTTTTTAAGCCTTACGCAATGAAGTTATAAAAATCTTCCAGTTAGATCAATTAGAACTAACACGGGATAATTAAGACCAACGTCTAAAAAACCTCAGCTAACTTATTTAGCACAGTTAATTAAAAACTCACATCCCGATTCCCGGTTGAATTGGTTTTAACTTCACAGTGAAGCATGTCAGCTTTTGTTTAAATTTACGTAATTTTTACGTAATTTATACTCTATACTTTACTTTTTTAATATAATAAATCGTAAATACACACTACTTGTGGCGTAACGTCAGCAATCACAGCATATTTTTGAATGATTCTTTATAAAAAGGCCTACACTTTCGACACGCTTTAGGATATATATTTTCACGCTATTAAACTTAAGGGGCATGTAAATTGAAAAAAAAAAACTTCACGTGCGAAAGTGACCATAAAGTACAAGCTGCCAACATTAAGGAAGCTGTTATTATGTTAACAATAATTTTGGCATTTGAAATTGAGAATTTAACAAATGTAAACAATAGAATAAAGTTTTTATAATTTGATACGGATGAAGCCGCACGGAACTGCTAGTAAATAAGTGTCTTCTTACCTCTTGACCATGTCTATTGTGCCAACTTTATTTGGTAACATTCCAAATAGCAAAGCATTTCTCTTTTATATTACTGGAAGAATTTTTATGGATTGCACTCAATTTGTATCCGTCTTAAGCTACTTCGTACATAAATCAAATAGGAAATGAAGACAGGAAATGAGTTTCTTTGTCAATACGTATTTACTTTCGTTATATTTATGGTTTTATAAGGGAAAGTATTTCAATACCTCTGTTTTCCGTTAGTACGTATTTCCACTTATAACGGCTAGTCGTGAGAAACATCCATTTGTATGGAATCCCGTGCTATATCTCTAGAACAAATCTTGTGGATTTGAAACATTCAATTCTGACAGATTTATCTGAACAGTTGAAGTTTAACTGATCTATCTGACAATTATAATTGTCCCTACAAGTTATATTTTTAACTGATCAGTTCGACTCTTCAGTTATAATTGTTAGAACTGAGCGTTCGTAACTGGCATTAGGAAGCTATGGCAGCGTAATGTTTTTAAAAATAGAACGCCATTCATACACCCATGAGACCGTTATGTGATTTGCATGCGTTGTGAAGAGCAGCTAGCATGGCGTGTAGGGGCCCACGACACGGGGTCAATTGCTCACGGCTCACGGCGCATTGCATTATGTATACAGCCAACGAAGTCGCACACGTTTATGGTATCAAGGAAGGTATTAAATGCAAGGTGAGAGCTCTCACCTTGCATGAATTTAGTCATTCGTATCGTATTGTAGTGATCTGTGCTATACTTTGGCAAATATAGACTTTACAGTTCTATTCGCTTTATTTAAGTAAAAAATTGTAGTTCCAAGGCTAAATATATCAATACTTGATTTATCTATATTTTTTCGTACAATTTAAATCCTAACTTCGCTTTTAAAGATGTCAAGGTAAACTCGAATACTATGAAAATGTCTAACGGTCTAACATACCTACGTTTTTTTTTAATATGTTTGTAATATTGTGTCTGAGTGACTTACGCAATATTCTAATTTGCTTTTGTACAAGTATGAGCACAAAGTAACCAAGTGTAACAAGATAATAAATGAGTACTTTACGAAAAGCAATTTTAGCAAAATAAAGGGGGGGTATTTATGCGTCGTCGACGGGCGTAACGGACTTTTCCTGACAAGTCACTGAACACTGCAACTTTTATACATTTTTATGAGACTAGTTGTTTTCATTCAAATTATTGCACTTGTTGTATTAGTTAGATAAAGGGCCTGTCCCACCACTGGCTTAAAAATTATGTTTCTGTCAGATAAGGAAACAAAATTCGATCACCATCACATATTTTATGTGTTGGATTGTTATCAGACTATAATTAGGGGACAGGCCCTTAACGTCGTTGAAGTAATTTGTTGTGGTTATGGTCATAAACCATTAAAATATATTACTACATATAACCTAATCGTAGTAGGAATATGGTCATGAAACCTAACAATAGGGAATATGCATGTATTTTTTTCTTCTTTAAACGATTCTACTTGTCATAAAATATTGACGCGATAATATTTAACCATTGAGCTAAAAATAATAAAATATAATTACGACCATTTTCGAGCGACTAAAACGCGACCGGAGTTGTCATGAGACAATTGACGTCAATCGTCATATTCCATTCGTAACATACGCTCAGATGTCACTTCGATGTAAAAAACAACGTAAATGAACTGTGTATTCAAAAGATAGCGACGCCATATTAGCCACTTCCTTCGACCTATAGTATGCGTTTTAGAACTTAGCGAGAGAATTTGAAAAAAAGACACTTTTTAATGATTTAATTTTGCTACTGAATCACATTATATTTAAAAAAACTTTGCAATGATGTTTTTATAGTAATAAAGTATACTTTAAAAAAGTTTGGTACAATTTGGCGTCATATGCATATTGCCCATTGTTTTTATTATTGCAAAATTGCATGACATGCATAGTTTTACATTGAATCCCCCTAACGGAGAGGAAATGAAACGTACTTAATTTATCAATATCGGTATGCGGGAACTCGCATACATTATTCAATTATTATCAATTTTATATAAAGTACGCGATTTCATTCTCCCACGCTTGTTAAGTAGACTGGAGTATTGACCCAAGGACCCTAAGTGTAATTTTCAGACTAAACGTACACTAAGGGGTTAACAAATCCAATGTAAACGCAACCTTATTAGTAATAGTTTATGGCAAAGTTCACTATATCCTACTAACAGAATACCATCAATACTAGCGTTTATTTTGTTAATTTTAGTCACCAATTAGTACTTTAAAAAAGTTTTTTTATTCTCATTTATTTTTAATTCCCTTTAACTTACTATCAGGAAGTTATTTAAATAGGTAAAAGCTACGTTTCCTACTTCTATTATATTGCTTTGAACAAAACAGTTACGACCCCTATCGTCAATCATCGTAACATCTGTCAGTTTGGTTGCGAACGGAAATGGCTTATCGGTTGTCCGTTCCGCCTCGCACTGTATAGTGAGGTTGCTCGGTCATTGTCAATGCCGAAGGAAATACCGTGATACTGTTATTGTTAATTTCTTCGTATATAAAATAGAGTTATATAAACGTTTATGTTTTTAAAGTGGCAATAACATGGTACAGGAGTTGTTTTCTTTTAATATTCGTTCCAACGACCATTTTTAAATTTTGGTCCTTCGAGTCAGATGAGATAAAGCTCTACTAGATACAGTATAATTCGGAATAGCTGTTGCTCGCGACTTCGCCCGTATTAAATTAAAAAATACTATACTAATTTCTAACTAGAATTTTTAAAATAAGTTCAGTAGTTTTCGAATTATTTAAATACATACAAAAATACAAATCTATCCTATTTATAATATTAGTATATAAGACTGACAATATTATTTTAATGTAGAAAGTATCTTTTATAATTTAAGTTTTATTAAAATCTTCCAGGAGTCAGTAAAAACATTTCATCTGCTATTGAACGAGACTTCGCGTCGGCTGCAGACGCTCAGCAAGCGGTTGGGCAGCTGCGTGGACAGGTCCCGGCCGTACCACAAGGCGGTGGAGGCTGCAGCCGCTGCGAGGACAGACTGCCAGCGAGCCGCGGTGCAGTTTCAACGAGCCAGTGGTAAGTATACACACTTGAGAATTTGACATTTGATCGGGTTTCTATTGTTTTTTTATTTTATATAAAAACCTCCTGAATTCGCCGAAATGGCAAAGCGACTGCTGGCAATAGACATCCGCAATTGCATATGCTTTGCCTGCCCTTAATCGACGGAAGAGGAGACGCACCTAAACAGGATATTTCCCCTTCCTATGCGTCTCCGCCGTCAAATCCACTTTTACTTCCCATCGTTTTCTCTTAAGAAAAGGGTGGAAATGAAAGGGACTAAAATTAGGCCTCCTGTACCACAGTCATCAGACGAAACACAATTATAATGAAAGGTTTTTTTTAGTTTCGGTAGACGTAGAAACTTTGAAAACTCGTATATCTCTTAGGTTGTTGATCTACTAAAGTATTTGTAAACATTCAAAAGCGACTATCAACTTAAAAATAGATAATCACTGTTAATTTCGAGGTTCGCGATTATTTGATTAACAGCTGATTATGTTGGTATATCTACGTAAAAATGCTGCTATCAAAATGATAGCGTATATTTCCGGCGCCACTTGCACTTGACCGAGTAGCGCTATACAAGGCCTTGATATTAGATACCAACTTATAGTGGTTTTTAGTAGGAATTAAACTGCATATCGAGAAAAATGTTAGGAATTGGTCCAGTAAATTATTTTTTATGTGACGAGTGTATATATTAATAAATGGATTATGTTAAAGATATTTATTTGCTGCAACAGTAAATTGTTTTTTAGATAAAACTATTTTAGTATTAATGAGGAATAATTATTTTAATTATTTTCAATTGAGCTTCATTTGTTTTGTATATAAGTGTACAGTCAGCCCCATAAATGTGAATAACAAATCTACAAATCTATGAACGTTCTGTTTCAAAAACACGTACTAGTATGTAATGGTCGGAAGCACACATACTTTGTTCCATATTTTGAGATGATTTTTACACCAAAGCATAGATAAACAAGTTTTTGAAATTTTAAATGTGTACATTTTTGCCTGACTGTACATAACCTTGAAATTCTATCAACATAGAATGTTATTGATACCGCTGTTTCTGTTTTTTGAAGAGAGAAAAGTATAGCAATATTAACACTGCAAGGATTATGTATTCTGGTTATAGTTAGCTTTTAGGAGAGGTTTTAACGTTATGTCAATTCGTATTTGCATATGAATGTGACATGTAATGTATTCAAAAGACCACTAAACTTAAATACACGAGGTTCGTATATCTAAAGAATATTTTTTTTATTACTGACGAGTATAAATCATAAAGTAAGGTCGTAACCTTTTGTGCGAGGGCTTGGCTACCGGAAGTAGGCTATCGTTCCACTTTATCTAAATTTTTTTGCTAGTTTTGCATTCTCATAATAAAAATAGTTTATCGCAGATTCTAATCTTGAAATGGTGAAGCTAAATTTGTTATATTTGCTTATACTTAGTTTATTCCTAAGTTTAAAACTAAATTTGACCGGAAGATTGAAGACTTCTTTGAATAGTAGATACTTCTATGTTAATGGTATTCATTGAATTAATAACCGTTTGGTTGTTTGCCTCCGCCTCAGTACAGGCAATACGTGCGTTTATAAAAACAGCGATATCTCTGACCTTGCGGGAACTGTGTTTGTATTTGATAGCGATGTTAGAACGACCTGTACTATACATATAATAAAATTGGAGTATCTGTAATATTAAAAGTAGAATTTCAGTTTGCGGGAAGATTATTTGCGTATTATAGCGAATTACATTTAAAAAAGAATTGTCTATCTCTCTGTCCAAGCAGCGTTTGTTCCTGTTAATGTCCGAAACGGCTGGGCTGTTTTCGACTGGACTTTTAGTGGAGGATAGTTGACACAGATAGGCATATATAGGCTACTTTTGAAATTCCGTGCTGTCAAAATGGCGTATAGGTAGTCCACTTTCGCTACCGAAGTTTGTAAGCGACAGCTCGTTTTATATTAAGCCAGTAAGTTGACCGATGAAATGTTATAACTGCAATGCGTCGTTTTAATGCACCACAACTTTGGTTTACGCAATCTGATCTGATATAACGAACAATGTACAATCGCCAAGAAAAATTTTATCGGAAAAATATTGTGGCCAAAAGATTTTTGTATTGCAGTATATAATGGCGTCAGATTCATTTATTCCAGTTCAGAAGATATAAAGTATACTTGTTCTCAGAGCTGCATGCAGCGGCCAAGGAGACGGTGAGCTTGGCGGAGCAGCGCTTCGTCAGTAAACAGGATGAGTGGCAGTTCGACAGCAACTGGCAGGAAGTCCTCAACCATGCCATCATCAAGGTCAGAGTCTCATTGCTATCGTAAATAAGCATATTTCAATTATGAAAGTGTGTTATTGATTTATATGCCATTATATGTTATTATAGGTTATGGATGCAGAAAAAAGAAAGACTGAGAGTGGACGTGAACATCAAAAGAAAGCTGCGGTATATATCACGGCAGAGAAAAACGTAAGTAGATGATAAATGATTTCGTGTGGGAATCTGTCAACGAATTGTCAATCGAGATTTTATCGTTTCAGGTGACTCAGTTAGAGGAGAACTTGAAACGGAGTATAATTAAATCCCGATTGTATTTCGAGGAAAAGAAGCTTTGCGATGAACAGCTCCAGATGCAGAACGAGAAGATAGAGAAGTTGCAGCGTCTGATCGCAGATGCTAAATTCCGGTACGCGACATCACTGAAGGCGTTAGAGGAAATATCCGAGGAGATACACAGACGAAGGGGGGAGTACCCGCCGGGTAAGGACCCTATACCTGTCGGGCCACGGGAGCCAGGCGTCGGCGCAGAACGGGACCCCGTACATGATGAGAATCAACTGGAACCGAAAGAATTCGAAAAAGATGAAGAACCAAGTCTGCAAGAACTGAGGAAGAGAGTGAGAGAACTCGCTCTGAAGCCGATAGACCGAAGTGATGTGGACACGGATGAGGCTTGGACGCAGGAACTGAACGAGACTATAAACAAATTGGATCAGCTGCTCATGATGAAGGAGAACAATCAGCAGAAGAGATCCAAGTTTACAGCGAGTTCTCCGCGGAACTCGAGCGCTCCTACCACCAGCACGAACACAGCGCATAGGAACTGTCAGCCGCCGAGCGACAGCTGGAAGACAGAGTCTAACTTGACAAGGACCAAGTCAATCAGTCGCGATGTTATCTTCGAGACTGTGAATCCTTTAAGTAAGACTGAAAAGTCTAAAAGTATGATGTCTTTAGATGTGTTGGCGTTGGCTCGGGACGCGACTATGATGGACCGTGAATCGTATTTAAAAGCGGTTATAGAAGATAAATCTCCGACAGGCACTTATACAGAAAGTAACTCCGATTGTAACAGTCCTGATGATATCCTGATGGTGGAATGTGACTCCAGTGACTCCTTGCAGAATCCCGTCATCAGGATGACGAGCTCCGTCACCGACAGTGATCACAGCTAAATTGGCAACTCTGTCAAATGTCCCAGCGACGTCTGTAATACATTTTTAAATTGTGATTTTTTTTATTTTTGTGTACGATGAGTGAGATTGAATTATTGTATTGTAAGTCAATTTTATTGTTAGGTTTTCTATATTTTTCTGGGGAATATTACATTTGTAGTTTAAACTTTCTCTAAATAAATTTATTTAACAACATTTGGTGTAAACTTTGTTCATTTAGATATTTTCGTTCTATTAAAATTTATTAAAAGTGACAAAAAAATACTAATCGGTTAAGTAAAACGAATTTTCTTAGTAATAGCGCCACCTATTGGCGAATTGAGTGAAGTGGGTTATTAAAAACATAGAAAAAAAATTGCACATAACATGCACTGATTGCCCAAAAAGTTTTAGTGTTGTGAAAATAGTTGTGAACTATTGTATTATTTCATGCAAAAAAAATTATATCAATCTGGCTATAGCCAGCAAATTTTTAAATACAGCACAAAATATATACCAATAAAATCAGTAAATATGTGGATGAAAATAGCATGATATTAGTAAATATAAAGAAAACACTGAATCTATCGTATAAGATATTTCTAGAAAATGCGAAAGATAGAAATAAAAGCACTACAGCTATTGTCTCAAAATATGTATATATACAATTTGTATATTTTTACCACAATTTATTTCTAAAATGACCATGCACTATGGCTCACTTTTATTTGATTATTTTGTATCTGTTGTGATTTTCAGTTAATAAATCTTGGTGTAAAATAACCTTGTTTTTGATTTTTTACCACTAAATACACATAAGTGCATCAGAATACAATTCTTGTTTTCTAAAATAACTTTTCGAGTACTTTAAATTGTGGTTTTTTAAATTTAAAAGTTAAAGTAAATTAAAGAACATAGTGTTGGTGAAGTAATAAGCCTCTTTTAGATATATATTTACTTTTTTATGTATTTTTAAAATTAGAATATAAGTTATCATTTTTTGCAAATAATCTTTGATTCATCAATAAATCTTCAAATCGTTTCAAGGCTGTTTATATATTTTTATTTTTATTAAATTTTTATTTTAATTATTTGGCTTAATTCCTTTATTCTCCGCACGATCCTTCCTTCCTGTTCGCATTTTTTTTAAATAGTAAAATATTTTATCTCAGCCCAAGAAAAATGAGGAATTAGGCTGATGAAGGATTTAGGCTGCTCTTCGTCTAAAAAGGTTTAATCTAAAAATGTAGGGTTTGAATATTGAAAATGCAATTATAATATGTTTATTTATTAATTTGAACATAACTTGTTACTCTATTATAAATAATGTTTTAAACAAACATCAATAATTTTAATTACATAGAGGAAGGCACTTCTAGAGAATGAATTACACAAAACATTACATTTATCTAAAATAAAAAACATTGAAAATATAACAATTTGTGACACAAAAGTATAACAGTAAAAAGATAATAAAAAAGTGTAATTAATTTCATAATTTGAACTTAAAAACATATACCTTGGAATAAAATGCGTTAAAATAATACGCCTTGATTAATTAATTCACCATAATATTTACTTAGATCTAAAAAAACATCAAGGGCCTGTCCCACCACTGGCTGATAGAGGCTCAGATAGCTAAAAAATGACGTCAATGTCAGATAAGGTAACAAATCCGATATTTCCATCACATATTTTACATGTTGGATTGTTATCAGACAATTATTTTGGTGGGACAGGCCCTAATTCTCTGCATCAATACATTTTCACGCATACTTTTATCTTCATCAAATCGGTTTAGGCTAAACAAAAAATGTCCGTTTAATTTAGAAAATAATTTTTTCCTTTGCTCACGCCATTTTTTTTTTTGCTTTTATAACATGCAAAAAATTCATCAAAGATATATGTTCATACAGATATGATAATTCACTAGTTTTTTTTTCTTTTTGTAAAAATACTCCATGTTAGAGAAGTTACAAAAAAGTACAATATTCTATTACACACATATTGACTGTTAACTCATTTTTATAATAATGTTTGAAATATTACAAAAAAATGTACATTTTTCATAATAATTTTTGTATTACCTTAACTAAAATAACTTTAAATATGTGTGTGAATAACTAAACTTTAAACTTTGGCATGACGATGGGTTACCATGTTAACAAGCATTCGAGAAAAAAACATACAAAGAATGAGCCAAAGTTAATATTACATTAATAAATAGAGGTTTTTTTTATCAGTTTTAAATAAAAAAAAATCAAATCTTTAAGAAACAGCTCATAAAAGAAGTAATTATTTAATTTTTTTTTTATTGTACAATTTACAGAAGACACTATTTTATGAAAAAACATATATCCCACAGCAATAAAATACTGTAACCATTATAATGTTTATAAGATACTGGTTTCTAACCACGATTGGATTGTTTTTTTTTTTTGACCAACTTCCCAAAAGAAGGAGGTACTCAAGTCGTCTGCATGTTATTTTTTATTTTTTTTATGTGTGTTACGGCATACTTCGCCGCTAGTGATTTTGATAATTCTTTTTTTATCCGAAAGGTTTGCAGGTGGGTCCCATTTTTTGCTTGATTTTAGGAGTCAAAGACTACAACGTAGTTAAATAGTTTAGCTCAAAATCTCGCGACGAAATTTAGGGTCGTTTTTGCTTTTTTCACACCTCATCACTTCAGTCAGCCCGTGAACATGGGGCATGCAAATATCGGGTGCTAAAATAATCCAATTATGGTAAGAAACCCGTATCTTACGAACATTACATTTGTAAAAACAACAGTTTAAAGCACAATTATTAAATTCTTATGAAAAATAGAAAATGATAAAAATAAATGGTATAAAAACATTTACTATAGTGTAAAATCTATTATTTATCACATACCATATGGAAAATAATTAAATTGCATATATATTAACAATCCAACATAAATAATATTAAGAAAAAATCGTAAAAAAACATATCAAAAATTCAAATGCAGCATCACATTTATTAGGTTTGTTCGTTAACAATTTATTAAAAAAATGCAAGCAATTTTAAGGCATTTACTGTCTCATTCTATCAGAAAAAAATAACCTAATGTTACATGTTAAAAATTGTGACTAAAAATTGACCTCAATACTTATTACATTAAGGGTCTGTCCCACCACTGGCTGATAGAGGCTCAGATAACTTAAAAATGACGTCACTGATAAATCCGATATTTCCATTTCATATTTTACATGGATTGTTATCAGATAATTTACAGTTTGGTGGGACAGGCCCTTTAACACGTAAATAAACGCAATGATTCAACTTGAATTTTTATTTATTGTAATTAGTATTAAAAAGATATTTTTATATACACTGGACCCGTAGAAAACGTATCATAGATTATTTACTTCACATTTCAAATGGCAACATAAAAAGTAAATAAAAAGCCAATTTTTTTGATATCTCGTTAGATATTTTGTAATTAAAAAAAAATATAAAAAATATATCTGTACCATCCAAAAGTACAACAAAGATATATTTTTTTTAAATAATTTCACCGTAAACCATGTATTATTATTACATAAAAAAAGTTTTTTATATAAATTTCTCTATTAATTTTACTATTCATTTATATAATATTCTAACCTTATTTCTATGTCAGTTATGTATAATTTTATTTAGGTTTAATTACTTTTACATACTTTAAGGAACTATATAATCATTTAGCAATACAATTCTGTATTTAATATGCAAAAATCCGTTTTACAAAATAACCATTTCCTATTTTTTTTCGAATTCCTACCAATAGATGGCGTCACATTTTCCAAAACAACATAAACCGTCACTTTTAAAATTCAACATATCTTAGGAAAACAATACAAATTATACAAAATGCATTCTAGGAAACATAAAACATATCGTAATGACATTTTCACATAAATTCAACATTTTGAACATAAAGTATAGTTCTATTCATGTATCTTGTCGGCTCAGAGGTTCGGTACTGATTTCTGTTACACAAAAAATTATGTTCTGTGTAATTAATAATGTGAAAAAATATAAACTTAGTGTTCTGTATATTTATAGTTTAGCGGAGGGCACCACCTCCCGCCACCAGCGCGCGCGCTCGAATGTTCCCGGGTGACTTATTAACGCCTTTTGTAAGTTCTGGTATAACTGAAATTAACAAATGTAAATTAGATTCAACATAATTTGTAAATCAGACTTTAAAAGCAGTTTGGATGTTTGTTACTACGTTTTTCAAAGATATGGCGCAATTTTGTGAACTAACAATGTCATTGAAAGCGTCATATTTCGACCAATGAGAGAGCGCCATTTTTCTTTTTGTAATTTCGAAATTATAGAAATGACGATATTATAATCTAAAATTAGCAGATAGCTTAATTTTGTTATCAACATTGCAGAATTTGGAAATAAGCTGGTATTTTTAAACGGTATCTCTAAAAACTAACAGCCGCCTTGTCAATGTCAAAAAACCACCACAAAAGCCTTGTAGACAAGTATCAGTAAAATTTAACACGGATGTCATAAAGCCTAAAGGATCACATACAAGTTTATTTCATTAACCCTAAAATGCACGATTATTCTTTTTAAATACCATAAATTGAAACTGGTAGTAAATTGAACATAAATTAAAAAAAATGTTCTTACAAAAGTCTATTGGGTAATGTATAAATTCATCATCATACATTTAAAGGTTAAGTCGCGAGAAAGAAATATTAAAAAAAAATACTTACTCTGCCATCACTGTTGCCTAACACAGAGTTGAGTACAAAATCTGTGGGGGCGAGTGCATCTACCACCCCCACCACATCCCCCTTCAGCTCACCACACAGCTCCAGCAGCGCCGCACGCAGCAGCTGCGCTGCAGCAGGCCCGGTGCAGTATCCACCTTCGTACAGCTCCGTCAGATGGCCGTCCAGCGACCACAGCCCGTACAGCATCACCAGCCTGTTCAGCACCGGCTGCAACGCCTCCTCCTTCTTCTGTATAGCTTCCAAGCTGAACATCAACGCTAAATATTCAGCATAAGCTTTAGTTAGATTCCGCCATCTGTATACTTGAGATTTGTTCTTCGCTTGGAACTTTGTGAAGCCTTGAGCGAGTAATGATTCGTATTTCTCATATGTTTGCTTTAGTAGGTAACATATCAGCCATTTGTAAGTCGACATTATAACTGGAAGGAAATAGAATTGGTTATTAATTTCATTTTAGTTAATACAGAATTAAAAAGCGCGTTTCTTGAAAAAGCCTATATGTCCATCCCTATCAGGTACCCTACAGTAAATGTCCCATATTATAGAAATGTCATTTTTGTTATCAACAACACATATATATCAAGTTCGCGAAATCTATTTTTATTTCGATATTTACATAAAGACACTCCAACTTTATTATAATTATAAGTTACATTATTACCAAATATCTATCGACCACGACATCTAATTCACTTAAATAATTTTAACATGTGATTTTGAGGACATACCAAGAGATGGCGTAAGTGAGGCAAAATTCACAAAAGTAACAATGCCTTTATATTTTTGAATCTATAAATATTATGAAGAGCTACGATTCGTATTTTTTTATATTTATGAATGTACTAGCTTTCGCCCGCGACTCCTTCCGCGTGTAATTAAAAAAAGTGAGTAGCCTATGTGTTCTTCCAGACTTTTCCCTACATCTGTACCAAATTTCACCGGAATCCGTTCAGCAAATAAGGCTACAAACTCTAACAAATATCCATCCATCTAAACTTTCACATTTATAATATTAGTTAGATTGAAATAAGTGAGAAAGCTACGTGGGAGTTTCTTTTTTATAACATAAGGTGGCAAACGAGCAAGCGGCTACCGAAATTCGCCAAAATGGCGAAGCGACCGCTGCCCATAGACATCCAATTGCAGATGCGTTGCCTACCCTTATACGATGGAGGAGGAGACGCTCATAAATAGGATATTTCCCTTTCCTATGCATCTCCTCCACTGTCAAATTCATTTCCCCTTCCCATTCTCTCCTTATAAGAAAAGGGTGGTAAAGAGAAACGGACTTAAATTAGGCCTCTGGCACCACACTCATCAGACGAAACACGGAATTGCTTCCATTTCACGTCTGTCATCTGTGAACAGTGAACAGTCAAGAGGTAGTTGGAAGTATGTGTACACTGCGTGTCCTTGAGGTGGGCGGTGGTGCGCGGGGCGAAGGCGGCGCGGGCGAGCGCGGCGTGGCTGCGCAGGAAGGCGGCGGAGGCGAGCGGGCAGGCGGGCGCGGCGCCGGCGCGCGCGGCCGCGTACTGGCGCAGCAGCCAGTTGCCGGCCTGCTGCTGCAGCACGTTGTTGTCGCCCTCGTACGTCACCGTCGGCTCGTGGTTGCTGCGGATGTCGCCCAGGTTCGCGCGCTGCAAGTTACATGTCACTTAACACTCGATTATTTTCAATGGACGATTTTAAAGCAGTAAAGGCAAAGTACATAAAATAAAAGTGATAAATCAAGTGGTAAGGGTTTTGGTCCCTTTTCCTTCCCACCTTTTTTCTTACAAGGATGGGAAGGGAAAGTGGATTTGACGGCGGAGGAGACGCATAGGAAGGGGAAATATCCTCTTTATGTGCGTCTCCTCCTCCGTTGATTAAGGGTAGGCATTGAATCTGCAATTGCGGATATCTATGGATAGCGGTCACGTCGCCATTTTGGCGGATTCAGGTGGTCGCTTGCTCGTTTGCCACCTTCATCATCATCCAGTTGACATTATCCCTTATGAAGGGTCGGCACAGTATATCCTGCTCTTCCATACATCTCTATCAGCCGTCATATCTGAATCCACTCCTTTCTTAAACATATCCTCTTTCACACAATCCATCCATACTTTCTTCGGTCTTCCTTTTCCTTTGTAGCCATCCAAAGTCATTCTTAACACTTTCTGGTTTATGTCCCCATCGTTTGCCACCTTATATATAAAAAAATTAAAATAAAACCTGCTTCTATTTGAAAAGGTTGTAGAATAGTTTGTATCGTGATGTGTAGTATAGTGAGATGTGGTATGGTGTGGTTTCATGTGGTAAGATGTGGTGTGGTTTAGTGAGATGTCGCGTGATGTAGTGATATGTAACGGTGGTAACCTTAAGATATCCGTGTCCGCCGCAGGCCTCGCGGCACTGCTGCGCTGCCTCCATGGTGGTCCACGTCAGCAGCGGCTTGCTGCACGACACCATCGCGTGGATCTCCGACACCGCCTCGCTCTGCAACACAACACAACACAACATACAACTAACTCACCATAAACTTTTTATTTCTAATTTAGATAGATATATGGATGTTTGTTAGAGTTTGTAGCTAAAACGGCTGAACGGATCTCGATAAAGTTTGGCACAGATGGAAGAACACATAGGATACTTACTTTTGTTTTTTTAGTTCCACGCGAACGGAGTCGCGGTCGAAAGCTAATATATTGTAAAAATAAAACTCACCAAATTGTCAACTTGTTCTCCCATATGCGATTTCTCTACAATATCGAGGTAGACATGAGCAAAACTGTGTATGTATATCCTGAACACCACAGCCGCAGCCACGTAACCGAACAAACGCCATTGCTGGAAATATACGTTAAAATTTACACAAGAAATTTAAAATTACCTATTAAAATAATGATCTTTACTCTAACAGTGGCTTCCTATTCGTAACGCTTGCATTTAACCTTTGATATAAAAAAAATACAATACAAATTGAACAGAATATCGGTAATTTCGATATTTACAATTACAATTAGGATTTCAAATTGTCTTCATCTATACAAAAAGGTGGAGGAATTGTTTGTGTTAAAGAGGATAAGGGCCTGTCCCACCAAAATGTAAATTGTCAACAATCCAACGTGTAAAATATGTGACAGAAATATCAGACAGTGACGTCATTTTTAAGCTATCAGTCCCCTTAGACAAAGTAACATTCGATAAGTCACGTGCTTGGCACGTATACATATACTCCTATACATTTTGACACATTTTGTCGATTCTACTGGCGATATCGCTAATCGAAAGTCACTTTGTCTAGAGGGGCTGAGCCTCTATCAGCCAGTGGTGGGACAGGCCCTTATATTACTGCTGATAGAGATGTATGAAAGAGCAGCACAGATAGGAACAAGTCCCGTGTCCGATTTTTTAATTTAATAAACAAAAAGGGTCTCTGCTTAAATTACCACCAGTAACACTTTTAATTTTTCTTTTATTGTTTTTGTTTTAATTTTTTTGTTTAATATGTGTATCCTAATTTATAGTTGTTATTGAAGAAATAAAAAAAATCTTGTGAGTGCTGTGTACGCCTGTCATCATTATGTTCTGTTTTTTTGTTTTTCATTGTCTAAAGTATATTCATTTGGTTGTGAATTTTGAACATGCAATTGGTACCTTTCCAATAAATAAATAAGAGCAATGGCAACGTAGTAAATATAGTAAAAACAATTAAAAACTACTAACATGTAAATCATACTCAATGAGAGGTATCTCGTTGTCCTGTTCGCCGAACTGCGTGCGCGTGGCGGCGTACCGCACCGCTATCGCCACCGCGCTCGCCAGCGAGTGACAGCTCTCCTGCATTATGCCGATACGACCTAACACACGTGACAATTTTGTCATATCACCTTTTAATGGTATAAACGAATTGGTTTTAACGAAATACCGACCGCTAGAAACGTTGTCAAAAGCGTTACAAAGGTATTTGCGAATTATTCCCAACTGTTACCCCGCTTTGTGACGTGAGAATAAAAAGTTTCACCCATCCCACCTTTTAGTCCCACTATCACCAATAAACCAGATGGAACCGTTATGATATTAAATTAGTTCCAACCGTCCCTTCGTCCTAAAAGGTGGGACGGATGAAACTTTTTATTCTCATCTATCCCCACGTGGGGATCGATTAAAGTCAAGCATTGCGCGCTGTTCGATTAAAGTCAAGCATGCAGAGAAAGAGTATATTTGCCCTTCCTATGTCTCCGTCAAATGTTTTTTTCTATTTTTCCTTTCTTAGAAAAGAGTGGACAGGGAAAAGGGAATAAACTTAGACTAAATTAAATACTCTCAACAATTATCTATAAAAAAAAATGTGATACAATTTTGTCGTTCCCTTATCTATAAAAACCCTATCAGCCTTAGGAATAAATCGAGTAAAAATATGTACTAATATTTGCTTATACTCAGTTTATTCCTCGTTAAATTTTATACCGCGTTTATTTGTAAGGCTGTATAACAAAAATTTAACGACAAACTTTTTAATTAATTTCATATGCATAGGTAAACCATTATTTACTATCACTCACCTGCTGATAAATTTTCTAACGCAGCACCAAGTATTTTGGATGGATCAGAGAATGAACTGACGTATTGACCGTCTTCTGTGACGTCTGCGGCTCTGTTCAACAAGTTCTCACGAGGTATCCGATACTGGTTGAACATTATGAACCTACGAACATTGTTATAAATAATCTGTTGTTGATCCACAGAAGCGATCTAAGAGCTCGGTGGCCTCCCGATTCGGTAATAACGAAGTAACGGCTTGTACCGAGGCTCCCGAGGAAGCCCTCGAGCTTAGTTACACATAAACGAAGTTTAGGCTAAGAGGTATGCGCTCCGCCACCTCAAGCCCAGTGAATTTGTAAATACCTCTTCAAGTCAACAGTGGTCATTCAGTCACAAAAGAAGTAGCTGTTGAGCGCGACTTTGTTCATGTGAAATTATAAATATGCCTGTCACTCAGCGATAAAGTAGCTTTTTAACGGTGAAAGAATTTTTCAAATTGGCCCATTAGTTTTTGAGTTATTTCGATACATACAAAGATACAAATCTTTCCTCTTTATAATATTAGTAGAGAAAAAAACTGACTTCCAAATTTAACACAGATGTAGATAGTCTGGAAGAACACTTCAGTCATTAAGACCATTTTTTTTAATTAGGCATACTAAATTGTTAAACAAGCAATTAATTTAAAAAAAATAAAAACCGCAATAAAGCTATTTACTTCTAATCTAATATAGGCGACTTAAGTTTTTTTTAATTACACCCGAATGAAGTTGCGGTCAAAAGCTAGTTAACATTTCAGGTACACTTTCAGCCCAACCGTTTTCGTGCCGCGACAGATGACGTCATGATATGGCGTGACATTCACGTCACAGTTTTGTTAGATTATCAAAATTCAATACAACGCGTTACTCATTCACAATCTACGTTCGGCTATAACTTTAATGTACCCAATCGGATGATTCACGTCCTTCGACTATTCTTAGCATTTCATTTACTTTGAAGAACTATGTAGATTTGGAATTCCATACGTTCAGTTTTATCTGAACAATTCGAATATTTACTTTTCGAAAACATTAAGAACTGTATGGCTTAACACAAGATATAGGTAAATTAGACAGTGGAGCTTTTGTGTGTGCTTTGTGGAGTGAAAATTTCGATTGTTTTAACATAAATCTTACTAATATAAATGCGAAAGTTTAAATGGATTGATGTATGTTTGTTAAAGTTTGTAGCCTAAACGGCTGAACGGATCTGGCTAAAACGAGGCATAGATGTAGAGCATAGTCTGGAAGAACACTGGCTATTTACTTGTATTTTTATTACCAAGTGGATGGAGTTTCGAGCGAAAGCTAATAAGTTACAAATTATTGATTTTTACAGACTCAAAAGCTGCAACAAACGTGATTTGAAATAAAAATGAAAGTGCATGTAAAGATATTTTCGGCAAACAGATATCGGGTGAAAGGTGTGAGATATACGAACGTTGGATGTTTGAATTTGTTATCTATACAATCTGAACAGATATAGAATTAGGTTAGGTTAATTTTATTAGCACTTCAACGAATCAAGGTTACTTAAATAAATAGATATCTATGGGTTTCTAAATACTGAATCATCCCTATATTTAACCAATAATTGTTACTAGCGTGTAACTTAAGCACACAGACGATTGACAGCTGACAGATAGGGACGGGACGTCTATGAAGATAATATAGTGTTGTGCCAATCCTACAGCGCAGTAGTTGTTCTTCTTAACACTATCAAAGAAAGAGAAAATGTGTGACGCATTTGTATAAAATCATGTCATCCTTAACATTGTAAGAGAGACAACTAATATGTGACATCGCAATGGAAATAAACGGTAAAAGCGGATGCCAGTTGCGACTCAAATATTCATCATTTCTTGACTAGATTGTAGATATTAATGGCATATTTACATTAAATAATGATGAAAAGAACTCGATTAATCTTATCTATAACGCACCATTCCTTATTTACTACGAATTCAATATTTTATGACACACGCGACGTGATAAGATTGGCTCGTAACGTAACTTTTATCGCATGCTGTCTGTTACATATTCGCACATCCAATGTTCAAGGTTGGCGAATTTATAGAAAATATTACAAAAAATATGTTTAGAATTCGAATTTTAACACCTTCAATGCCGCTAAAATTTTCCGGCATCAAAGTAAACTGTCAAGGCAAGTCGGTAGTAGTAACTTAGACATTTGGACAATTTAACACGTTCCGTGCGTCAAAACTTTTTAACTTATACATATGAAGTAAGGAATAAATCACTTTTTTTCATGTTTGGGAGACTAGAAGGGTTAAGAATGACAACTCTACCGCAAACGCAGGAGCTCGGATACGAGAAAATACTTCCTGTAACGTTTTAAAATACTACAAAAGACTCACCCGTTATCAATACCGTTGACGCCAATCTTCTCACCCATGTCCCCTACCACGAGGCCAGGGTACGTCTCGAGGGTGTCAGGGTCACGAATTGGCACCACGAAGCCATGCAACCCATGGTTGGTGCCATCGGGCATGATCAGCTGCGCGAACAGCAGTGTGTGCGTGCACGTTCTGCCTGGAAACATACACCGTTTGTATCGAAATAAGGACATTCCATGAAAAATATGCTAGATGTTGCCCGCGACTCCGTCCGCGTGAAATTAGAAAAAAAGTGAGTAGCCTATGTGTTATTCCAGATTATCCATCCTTATACCAAATTTCATGTAGATCTGTTCAGCCATTTAGTCTACAAACTCTAACAAACATCCATCCATCCATCTAAACTTTCGCATTTATAATATTAGTTAGATTAAAAATGTAGTGTCTGCACCTATAAAAATTTCTTCCGCCACTTCTTCTCCCAGCGATAACGCTTTCCGAAGTGGTAGTAATGTTAGACGTATTAATATTAATCAGATAGAAGCAACCGATCAAGTCGAGGTTCGGCCCTCTCGAGCGCCCTTGAATCGGAATGCTAAACGCGTATTGAGTGACAGCCCAAGCCGAGGTTCCCTCTCGGGGGCCCTTGTGCCTAGTCACTCCATGGAGCGTCCTCCGAAGCGACCTAAGAGCTCGGTGGCCTCCCAATCCGGTAATAATATCGAAGTAACGGCTCGTGCCGAGGCTCCCGAGGGAGCCCTCGAGCTCAGTTACTCATAAACGAGGTTTAGGCTAAGCGCCATCTGCGCTCGGCCACCTCAAGCCCGGTGAATCTGTAAATGCCTCTTCAAGGCAAACAGTGGCCATTCAGTCACAAAAAAAAAAAAAAAAAATCCTTAATGTTGGCACCTTGTAGTTTACAGTCCCTTTCTCACATTAGGGTTTTTATCTAATTAATTTAACCCCTAAGTTTAATGATGAAAGTTAAGTTTAGTTAACCCCTAAGTTTAAAGACTAAAGCGTGACGTTAGTGTAGGGCATTTTATTAAAAAAAGAATAATTTAAAACCATGCTGTAATTGTTGACATCTTACGTCACAAAGTAGTGTGTGTTTACGCTTTATTATATTAGTATAGAAGTATAGATATTCCATGTAACTATGGCTTTATATTTTAAATATTTTATATATTTCGGACCCCTTTGTTTCTAATGAGCTATATTTAGAATTATGACTAGTTCAACCGTGTAACCAAATTTGTACGCTCGGGCGCCCTAATAAAAGAGGGCTATATTTTACAAAATAAAGCCCATGAAATACATGATTCGTAAAAACAAAATTACGACTAATTTCTCAACAAATGGTATAAGTGACTCAATAATACCATAATACAATAGTAATTCAACTTAACTTATACCATTATTGTTGCATTGAGAAAACAAAACGATTTTTTTTTCAATTTTATGGCTATATTGTGCAAATGTGTTCTGCAATTTTATATTTTTATAGAAAACTAGCTGTGTGGCATCATCCGCATGAAAAAAAATAACTTCATTTGATTTTTACATTTGTAAAACTTTCAATTACAAATATTAAAATTCAAACGCACAAATGACAACGATTTTTTTTTTGAGTGGCCACTGTTTGCCTTGAAGAGGCATTTACAGATTCACCGGGCTTGAGGTGGCCGAGCGCATGGCACTGAGCCTAAACCTCGTTTATGAGTAACTAAGCTCGAGGGCTCCCTCATTGACAACGAAGACCTTTGCCATTGGCTAACAATTACCATGGCAGTATTGCGTCCGTCTTTTTATTGTTTTTATCTCTTTCTCGCATGACGATGTTTTTGTGAATCATTCAAATTTTTCATTTTTTCATTCATTGATTTCATTCAGATGGCAAAAGAGGAAACGGCCACCTGAATCGACTGCCGCCCATAGACATCCGCAAAAGCGGATGCGTTAGACCCTTAATCGATGGAGGAGGAGACGCACATAAAAAGTATGTTTCTATGCGTCTCCACCGTCAAATCCATGTTCCCTTTCCATCCTTTTCTTATAAGTATAAGGGTGGAAAGGGAAAGGGACTAAAAGTGGACCTGTTGGGCGTTAAATTAAAAACATATTAAAGATTATGCAGTGATTGCCGACATCCTGCGTAACAAAGTATGTGTAAATATAAATTTATTGTGAACATAAAACTGAACCTATGACCCTTCATAAATTAAGAACGAGAAACGCTTCGTTAACTCTAGTGTCAAGGTAAAATACATGACGCAGGACTCACTGAAATATGTTTCCAACAAAATATGTTATAAAAAGTTATTACTTAATGTTTATTTAATAGAAACATTTGTTTGATGAAGTTTTTTTTTTTAATATATGACTATTTAAAGCTATATCTAAACAAATAAAATAGGAGTATCTGTTTGTAATATCAGGAGAAAAATTTCTATATTTCGGGAAATATGCGTTGCTAATAAATCGCATTTAATTTGTTTGTTTGTTTGTTCCGGGCAATGTCTGAAACGGCTGGGACTATTTCGACCGGACTTTCACTGAAGGGTAGCTGACAAACGGGCATATTATAGGCTACTTTTTTTATAAATATCGCGTGGACGAAATCGCGGTCAGCAGCTCGTTTAAAAATACCAATGAAACAAAAAACAAGCGTTTAAATAAAAAAAATATAAAAATGAAAAATCTATAGTAATATAATAAAGCTTAAACACACTACTTAGATATGTAGGATGTCAGCCGTCACAGATTATTGAACAATATTTAATAAAAAGACCTACAGTGACACGCTTTAGGCTATATATTTTCACTCTATTAAAGTTAGGGAGTTAATAAATTGGAAAAAACCGACATGCGGGAAAGAGACAAAAACTACAAGCCGGTAGCTGCAAAAAGCATGGTTACCATGGTTTGTCGTAAACAATACAAACGTCAAACGACTTCCTTGTATTTTTGTTATTTAAAGTTTTTAGAAATATTACAACAATAAAATACAGTTTTTATAATTCCATGAGAAAAAAGCCGCATTGGAAGCAAGTTTTTAATATATTCGTAACGTTATTATTTCTGGTTATTTTTTATATATGTAATAATAAATATATTTTTTGCAGCTTTTAATTACATAATTTTTTGACTGACTTTTCAAAAGGAGGTACTCAATTCGTCTGCATGTATTTTTTTTTATAAACATAATTTATTTACCACCAAAACTATACCATCCGCTATACAATTTAGAAAAAAACTGTAAAAAATCCTAATTTATATTCAGGCCACTTAATAAGCAAATATTTTTATAAAGGTAAGTAAACAGTCTTTTAATTACAAGGCGATTTTAATTACCACCTTATATCTTTCAATTTACATAAGAGACATAAAATTTAAAGTTCCAACTTAAAAAATACCTCCGAAATGTAGTATTCTTGAACTTAAAACTTTAAAGACATACAACTTAAGGGCTATTTTTGAGCACTGTCGTTACCGCTATAAAAAAGCAAGAAAAAACCAAATAAAATCCACACGGAAGCTTTACCTAGATTACCAACCCAGCATTTAGCGGCCTCGAAGTCTGGTGTGTGTATGACGAACTCGCGCCTCGTCGCGTCGTACGTCGCAGTCGTACGCATCAGTCGCGCGTCTGAGCCGTGCGCGATCTCAGTCAGCGCGAAACTCGCCAGGATCTAGTACAAAGAGATATGCTATAAGATACAGAATCGCGTGACAGGATTAGATCAATATTAAAAAATATGCGAACTTAGAAGGAATTTTAAGTAACACGATCCTAGGTCTAGATCCTATGAGACAATATCTTTAAGATAAGCGGGCTTATAATCTAGACATGTAGGGTCTAGGGGTCCATGAGATCTACGAAAGACCCAGAAGTCTTTGGTGCTTAAAGCATATGGTAGAAATGTAGTGAAATTTTAAGAATAGTCTAGAAAGAATGGGTATATTTGACGTAGATCAAAACAATGTCAGTAAAACTACAATAAAAACTACTAACATTTAATTAATAATTTGAATTAATCATTACGAAAACAATTTTTTCAGTAAGAGATTAAAAATAATTGCTGTTTCTTACATAAGAAATACATAATATACACTATCAATATTCATAGAGGTAAATTTGTTACAAAAACAATTACTTTGTTATTTCCTTCAGCGGAGGTTTTCCTGTTTAGTAGTATATTGTACAAAGATTGGGATAACCTAGGGTTTCCTTGCTGGTTTACCTGGTCTCCAACTGGTCTTTGGCATATGTCAACGGGAAAATGTTATGATAGATCTTGTATGGAAAACAATAAGAAATCATACGTCAACGGTAAATCCAAATTAGGAAAAATAATATGTCTTAACTAACTATATAATAAAATAAGAGGATTTTTTATATCTGGTCAGTATAGTGGGGTATCGAAAATACGATTTTACAGCAGAAAAACATGAAAGTACAGTCGCCTGCATAAATATGTATACTATTACAAAGCTTGAGAAACGCATTTTATGACGTTATGGAACAAAAAAGACTAACCAACGGTTCAATGCAGCTGGGATAGTCATAAATCATATTAATATTATGAATAAAAAAGTTTAGATGGATGGATGTTTGTTAGAGTTTGTAGCCTAAACGAGTGAACAGATTTCGATGAAATTTGGTATAGATTTAGATGATAGTCTGGAAGAACACATAAGCTATTTACTTTTGAGATTTTTTTAATCCACGCGGACGGAGTCGCGGGCGATAGCTAGTGACCTATATTTTTTAAACTGCAGGATCCATTTACGAGGCTGATTGTACATAATATGAAGTCTTCTATTATAATTACTGAATATTGTTTATCTTTCCTATAAAGATTACATAAAAATATCTAAATTTAATTTTAACGATGCATTTGTATAACAGTAACGAATATAATGTTGGCACTAACTTCAAACAAATGTACTTTTCGTGTTGTGAATTAAATTTATAAGCATTTATGTTTAACAAACTTCATGTCCGTTATAGGAAAGAGTATAAACATTTACTCGTAGAACTTTGACTGATTGAAAACAAAGTATGAAGTCAAACAAATGTTTTGCCCGTTGGGGTGGTATTATCGTTTGATTGTCAAAAAATACATAAAATCTGATATATACAATTGCAACGGAGGGCGCTAGTGAGTTAATAAGTTTCACTTATCTACATGGTCCGATAACCGTGTTTTTGACCGACATCCCAAAAGAAGGAGGTACTCAATTCGTCTGTATGTTTTTTTTTATGTGTGTTACGGCATAACTCCGCCGCTAGTGGACTGACTTTTGTAATTCTTTCTTTTCCGAAAGGTAATGCTTGCAGGTGGGTCCCATTTTATTGTTTGAATTTTTGTGCGGATATAATATACCCTATGACACTCCGGGAAAGAAGACTAATCGAATGACAACTTATTCGACTAAAATCGGTTCAGACGTTAATACTCTAGGCTGTTACATTTTACATACATACAAACAAATAAGAAACAAATTTACATATGAGCGGAAATTACCCACTTTGTAACCATACTAATATTATAAAGAGAAAAAAATTGTATTCATGGATTTTTTGTATATTGAAATATCTCAAATACTACTGAGCAGATTTCAAAAATTCTTTTACCATTAAAATGCTACGTTACAGCGTAACATATAGGCTGTTTTTTTTAATTCCACATGGACAAAGTCGCGAGCAACAGCTAGTGTATTATACATTTACAATATAAGCATACCTCTCTGTTAAGTATTGTAGCTTCGTAGAACTTGTGATGTCGTTCTGTGCCCAGAGAGAGTAGCGCGTTGGAGAACAGATAAATTCCGATAGCCATTTTGACTGAGACGCTGGGATTCAGAGACTGTACAGCTTCGTTAATCGTCATTATTGCTCTAGTCTGGACAAAGAAATAATCATTATGAATAAAAAATATAGCAATACTGCATACATCAAAAAATATCAAAGTCTAAGGGCTTGTCCCACCACTGGCTGATAGAGGCTCAGATAGCTTAAAAATGACGTTACTGATAAGGGAACAAAATCCGTTAGACAGACAATTTACAATTTGATAGGACAGGCCGTAAGCCAAATATTAATATTCTTACCCTTTTACTGTAGCTAGAATTGAATATTTCCTTGGTAACAAACTTGTATTCGTTAATCTTTTTAAGTTGAAGCTGAGTTAATCGCTTCTGTTCTTCCACCGATGGTGTCACTTGGTTGTGAGCGAACAACGGATCCCTTTCTAAGATGTGCCATATTTTGTACTGCAAAGATATAATTATGTACAGAAAAACAAACATTAAGCAAAAAAATAAAAAATTTTTATGTAATTGACTACTTTTTGCTGTAATTTTGTGATTTACATCTTGTTTTAGGATTACTTTTCAAACTTAATACTAAGTATTGTTAAGTAATGTAAGAAATATAAAAGGGACTGTAGATTTTTCTTGCAAAATTGGTATTTCAAACATACTATAGTTTACATTTCCATCGAATTGTATATTCGGTCAACAATTAAACTAAGTATTAACAAACTAACATTTAAAACCATGAATATATCAGAAATACTTTTCTGACATAAAATGTTATTAAATCCACATTTATAGCTTATATACCTTATCAATATTTATCATGTAAAAGCAATTACATTTATATATTTTTTAATACTTCAATAAGTGAAATATATTAATAAATTAATGCGCAAAAGTCATGACAATTTATATGAAGATAATAAAATGATAAAATCAGAGGCGCTTGAAAATTGAAATTATTTTAGTATTACTGTCATTCACGATATTTTTGTTTTAAAACTTTGTAATTATATGCAAATAAAATAATTAAAAATGCATGACAAAGTTACATAAATTAAAATTAATTTCAAATACTGTTTAGTTATTAAAAAATCATCACCAATTAAAATGAGTACTTGATTACTTGAATCCAAATTAACATCAACATCTAAAATATAAAGAGAATATTAAACAGCCATTCTACATAATGTGTTATGAGTGATGAATCACATATAACAAGGACTGCTTTTTTTATTTATTTTTAATTTTTATTAATTAGAACTGTCACATTTTTTAACCAGTATCTTTTAGCATATAATTATGAAGAAAAATAGGATAAGGATAACAAGTTGTAGAGGTAGGCCTAGAAAGAGATGGACTGCATGAAAACTGACATTATCGAGAAAGGAGTGACAGAAAAGACAAACAATACATTGATCTGGAGGATTAAACCATGCATGGACCCTAAGGGTATAGAATAAGGACTGGCAGATAATAACTACATAGTCTGTTATTTCAAACATAAACTCTAAGTTTTAATTAAATATCCCGATAGTTTTTTCAACATTTAAAAGACTTAAAAGCCTACATCATTTATAAAACTTGTTATAGTGATAAGATATCAGTAACATAATCTATTCTTTATAACTTGTATCAAGGCCAACAACAAAATTATTCAAAGATTTCTCACAAGTTCTTATTTTTAAACTAGTCATGTTTCATGGACCAATAAGAGAATCATGAAGCAATAATAATTTAGACTTGAAAATTCAAAGCAAACTTTTTATATCTATTGCACAATTCAAAATTTAATATAAATTAAAAATCCGTAAAACAAAAATTAATTAATTTTTTGTGTGAATTTGTTTTAAACAATTAAATATTTTTATAAGTATAATACTGTGTAGACAAAATTAAATTTTTCTTAAATTTCTTACCTTAAGTTTTAACAATTCGAGATCTCCTTCCAAAGACAGTTTAAGGCGTTTCCAGTTAAACGATGCGGTATTTCTATAAACATCCAGAGGCCCGCTACGGAGATCTGGGATAAAACTAAGGTCTTCCATTTTCCTAAAGAAAAAACATAATAATCATAAAACTTTCAAACTATTATATTTTAGATTACTATTAGGTTATAATAGATATAACAATTCACATATACTTTCAAGAATTAGTGTAATTAATTTAATTCTATCGTTAAAGTCTTACCTTGCGTAAATTAAATTGCTGTTACTGTTTAACTTTACAAGTAATTACCGCCTTGCCGGTTTAAACGAGACTGAAAATTAGCATTGAACAGCGTGCCTATAAAGCGAGGAAACGTCTATTCTGAATTCTGATAAGTCAATTATTAATTACTTCAACGGAACCGAGTATCGTTCGATTTCGTTTCAGTTTCTTCAATCTGACAGTGACAGCTTGGAAGCGTATGACAGATGACATAACAGAGTGACAAGCTGTAAACCACAGATTATTTACGTAAAAATGTTACGTTGAAAAATCTGAAAGTTATTGATTTTTTTAATTCCTCATCACGGATAGCGTAATCGAGTGTGGTTCTTAAGTTTGTCTCTGTAATTAAAAAGTATGCAATTTTTGAAAACCTTGTACTTGGACTAAATCAAATATTAAAACAAATCGAATAGAAGTAGAATACCATTTTTAGCTTATCATTGACTGTCTGATATTGATATTTCTATTACTACGTATCTGTTACACTTACACATTACATTTAGACTAGTTATTGCTCGCGACTTCGTTCGTGTGAAGTTAAGAAATACTAAAAATATTACTTCTGTTACTCGCTGATAACGTAGCTTTTTAATGGTGAAAGAATTTGAATTAGGTCCAATAGTTTTTGAGTAATTATAATACAAATAAAAATACAAATCTTTCCTCTTCATAATACTACTATAGACTCGTACAGATGTTTGAAGCGGGCAGTTAATATCAGGTTTAACTGATTTCATTGCCACTTTCTTGTATAAAAAGTGAACATGATTACTTTCATTAGTTTAATATTACCTTACTTGGTAAATACTAGTAAACTACGGATGTAGGCAACGTTCACTTATCAAGTAATACAATTTCAAGACTAGGACCCGAATATTAGTTTATATTATAAATTAGCGCCATCTATCGAACACTTATCAAATCATTAAGTTTGATGACTTGATTCAAGCGTCATCATACGTTGTTGCTATGACTATACCAAAACACTCGATAGATGTCAGAACACCTGCTAAGTTAAATTATAAATAGTGTGAGCAGGACAAATAGACCTAAGTTGGACGAGCTAAAGCGAGACGACAAATGTCACCACTACATTGGTAAGTTACAACCACATCGAATTTCTATTACAAGACGTAACAAGAAAAGAGAAGTTGTAAAACAACAACTTTGTTCGCCGCCCGCGCTTGCTTTTCTATCAGATGTAAAATGGACGAGCGGTCGTGTTGTTGTGCGCTCGCAAACTCCGCGTGGTTGTTGTAAAATCGATGTTTATTTTGACGTGAATACGAATATTGTTTACGCGATCATTCGACTACTTCGGAGTACGGTTTCCGAAGGAGATTGTGTTGTGCATGTGTTTTATTTGACGCTTACGCTCACTTTACTTGCAGTGATTTTGCTGATAGCTCACTCACCGGTGGGTGCGCGCGTGAAAAACTACGTGTTCGTTTATAAAAAGCGAATATTCCTTAAGTGATTGTGTTTTACCATCATGCTGTGCACGGTGACATAGTGAACGTTAAGTTGACCCTGACCTCTGACAATCATGTCTGGGAGATCGGATTGCAGGAAATTTGCACCAAACATCTTCAATAAAAGCAAGTGCACTAATTGCTTCCGACAAAAGGAGGAGCATAGTGCCGAGGCCTTGGAATCTAATCGGGTAAGTTTTTTTTTTTCAAATACCAACCGTCCGAAATGCAAAACACCAAAAAGACTTCCAATCATTACATACTTGATTTGCGTGTGTTTGCATGTGTGAGTAGGCCCGCCAGTGTTTAAGTGTTGATCTAACGGAATGCTTGAAGCCAAAAAGTATAGAACAATTTGGGTAGGCAACACTTTTTGTAAAGAATTTTATATCCGTACATATATTGGCTGAGAACATGAATGTATTTCTTATTTAGTAGGCACATAAATGAAATTAGTTTAAAAACGCTATTAATAGTTTTTTTTAAATGTTCTTGATTTAAAAAAAATGGCGGTAAAATTTAAACGGTCGATAATAATTACGCGGAATCCCATTGTTTTGGCGCCAGAAAGGTCAAAGGCATTGACAGCTTAAAATGCATCATAATATTTTACTGTTTTGGCGCCATAAAGGCGGAAGGAAGGCATTAACAGGTTAAAAATATCATGATCAACGGTTTCGGTGTCATGAAGGCGGAAGACATCAACGGGTTTTAAAATAAGACAGCGTACAAATTGTTAATCGATGTGAATAACAAGAGAAATTATTTCGTAATAAACTAAGCTTTATTATTTACAGTACTAATTAAAATACAGATAAAATTTAACCTGTAACTAAAGTTTATTTGATATTTTTAAAAATTAATAAAAAAAGTTGTATAAAAGATTTATTTATCTGCAGTTGTAATAATATTTCGTAATCTCCAGATAAACTTGTGTGTACTATTTCTGTCTCGTATTAAAACGATGAAGTAACTGTTAATACTAGGACTTCCTTACATGTGAACTTGCTTAGACTAACTCGTAGTATAAAAACAGACGCATGATATGGCTAGAGTGGACGTGGATGTATTCTGTCATCGTTGTCCGGGAACGATTTATACGGTTCTATTGGATTCCTGACGAATTAAAACGGACCACGTGATTGATACTTCAATGTCTTAGAATAAGTTTTGTAATCTATCTAAAATAAAAAATAAAAAACTGAAATTTCTTTTCCTATAAATTATCTTTTTATTGTTTTCCCTAACAAGAAGGATGTTAGTTATGTGAAGGGGTACACCGGTAGAGATAGAAAGAGATGGATGGATTGCGTGAAAAGTGACATAATCAAGAAGAGAGTGATGACTGAGATGACGGATGATAGAGTTATTTGGAGGATGAAAACCTGGTACGCCGATTCTCCGGAAGTAGGATAAGGAAGGGGGAGATGAGATTGTTTTCTCTAATACATTTTTTTATGTTAATTTACTAACGACGGACTATTTCTGCTTAGAATTCGATACATGTTGATTGGTTAAAATTTAAAAAAGTACTTATTTCTGAAAGGTATTTTATTTTACCGCTAATTATATATAAAATGAGTTAACATTGTCACAAGGTACACGGAAACACGCTACATGTTGAACACGCGTTATCAGTATTAGATAATTACACTGATAAGATAAACGGACGGCCGCTGACGTAGACTTATGTATTAACTAGTTATCAACGAAATTACAAAAAACAAGCTTTCACTACTGTGTTACACAAATAGCGGATTTAGATAAACTATTTATAATATAGAAGATTAGAGAAAATATTCGAAAATAAATGCTATTATCACCAGATTTATCCTAGTTGTAATATACAATTATTGATTTTTGAATTCAATTTGTGGGGAAAAACATAGGGAATATTTTTTTTTGTGTTACTGAATGGCCAGTGTTTGCCTTGAGGCATTAACAGATTCACCAGGCTTGAGGTGGCCGAGCTCAGATGGCGCTTAGCCTAAACCTGGATAGTGAGTAGTAGAGTGTGTTCTTTCAGGCTAACATCTACATCTGTGACGTTTTAGAGATAATAACTAACAAACATCCATCCAAACTTAAGGATTTATAATAGTACTAGCTGTTCGCGTGCGGATTCACCAGCATGAAATCATAAAAAAAAAATATTTTATTGTTTACATTTGTCAAATTATCAATAGCAAATGTCTAAATGACATGATAAACCTTAGCAATCTTTCTTTCTTGATGTTGGCAGCAACTTTTGGTCTCTTTCCCACATTAGGGTTTTTATCCAAAATATTTATCCCCTAAGTTTAATGGCGTGAAAATATATAGCCTAAAGCGTGACGTAAGGTTAGGGCTTTTTATTAGAAAAATAATTATTCAAAAATATACTGTAATTGCTGACATCTTAGGCAACAAAGAAGTGTGTGTTTACGCTTTATTATGATAGTATAGATTACAATATAATAGAATTATATGGTTTGTTATACAATGTACATAATGGCACAATTAACGTCAGTAGCGTATATTTATAAAAAAAAACACTGATCATACTCAGCGGCTTTAAAACTGTCAACGAAGATCCAATCGAGTGAACGCAGGAGTTAAATTTCACATACTGCTGAGAAAGTGGAGATTCGATACTTCTACTTCGAACAATAATATACCTTTGACAAATGCAATAGAGTCTGTTTTCGTATATCTCAATTCATTTATTGGTTTGTTTAAAAATCAATAACACTTTAGTGTGAATAAATATTACTAAAGTTTATTTAAGTATAGTGTTACACGATTTTTAGTATGATATATTAATTTTGGTCTATTGAAGATACCTATATTATAATGGCCTGCGACTCAGTGGGCATGGAATTAAAAAAAAACTAAGTAGCCTATCTATCCTTCTAGACTATGTTCTACATCTGTGGCAAATTTCATCCAGATCCGTTCAGCAGTTTAGGCTACAAACTCTAACAAACATCCATCCATCCAAACATTCGCATTTATAACATTAGTAAGATAGAATATTCTAGATATGGAAAAAATAATGTGACATTATAAGTTTCGTACGTAATGTGTTATATGTTCTAAAAACTGCTTGAAGATTTTGTAACAAATCGTTAGTTAATAATAAAAACCGTGAATCAGCGATCTAAGTGTAGTTTACATTGAGGTAATAAGTCGAGGTGTACTTACGTTGATTATTTTGTTACAAACGTAAACCACCTGTTACAATAAAACTGTAACCCTGTTGGGGCCAGTTTACATTGGTTTTATTACGACAATACAGTTAAAGATAACTACGTATTATTTAATACTAGCTATCGCATGCGACTCCGTTCACATGCAATTAATAAAGTGAGTAGCTTATGTGTTCCTCCAGACTATCCTCTACATCTGTACCAAATTTCATCAAAATCCGTTCAGTGGTTTAGGCTACAAACTCTAACAAACATCCATCTAAACTTTCACATTTATAATATTAGTATTAGTAAGATATTCAAAGTTTTTTATTGTTAAACGTTTGAAACAAACAAGCAAAATTAGTTGGATAATCGATTTTATTAAATATTCTTCTACTTTTAGAGAGGAAATGGCAAAGATAATTGTATATTTCACTGCGAAAATAATTGTACATATATTTATTGCTATTTATATTTAAAGAAGAAAAAGAGATATCATATGTTTCTGTACAGGTCTTTCAACAGTGGAAACTTGTATTTGAATCATCGTTAACACCCGAATGTAATCTTTCGTCACGCTTACGTAAGAGTTAATATCAATGGTGTTCAAACAATATCTGTTACTATATTATTTGTTTAAAATACAATAGATATTCATAATTCATTTCTGGTAATATTCGTATTAAGCTATTATTGAATTAAGCTAATAAAAAATTAGAGGTCCTTTTTTGTTAACTGAAAGTACATAATAGACAAAAATATACTTAAATCACCATTTAATGATGATTACCCAATTTCGATGTTCTTGTAATATCGTATTTTAACGCATTTCCATCATATTGCACAAACTATTAGTATACTTTTTAATTTAATCGTTTATTGCACCGGACAAACTTGTTTTAAAAAGTTGTTAATAAATAAATCACCTTGTTTAACGATTGAAAACTTGACGAATGTTTTGTAATATAAATATAAGCATAATGAAATGCTTCGGTGGTTTATATCTGTCGATTGAAGATGTTATGTATTCGTAAGATGCAACTTAAAACAATAGACTGTGTTCTCGCCGCTCAGAAGAATTCTTTTATTAATTTATCTTCACTAATTCGTTAATTTTTGTTGTTACTCTGTGGTAGTTTTAATCTATCCACTTTATAATCTATGTACACTTCTGCAACTAACTTCCACTACCTCTCAGAGGCACTTTGTAAAAGACGCATTTTTTGTAAAAGAAGCCAAAACAATAAATGTTCAAGATTTGAATAAAAGAAGGAAGTTTCATTTAATTCCTTGCTCTTCAACGAAAAGAGTGTTTGCATCTTCATGTTTAACTGATGACTATGCTGGCGTACATTGTAGAGATTGGTCTACACGTGAATACAAAATTAACTAAGACCAGTGTTAAAGTTGTGTTTTCTATTAACATAAGTAGACAATTCTGTTTGTATACTCTTGTCATCGTTTTAAGGTAACATCCACACAATTTAGCACAAAACCTTTCAATTTGACTACGTGACGAGATGTCAAAGCCAAGGCTAACCTATGCGACACCATTGCATACTTGATTATCTGTCAAAGTTAATTTAAACCTTAACACCAATAAGTAAAACTTTAAATGAGTTTCGCTCGCGAGATATGAGAGCTATTTATAACAATACGGAAACGTCAATGCCTCAAATGGCTCCGTTCGGACAATTATCTTGACAAATGCTCCACTAACGAATCGCCATGTTGGATGCGCGCACGCGAGGTGACGCGGCGAATGGGAAGCTAACGATGACCACAAAGACCAACCTGACTGTAACCGGACACTAAATACATGCTAATTTTTTTTACTAACCTCTGCCTATCCCCCGGTGAAAGTTTGGTTATTAGACATAGTGTCTTCGAGCGGTGCTGTGTGATTTGGCGTTAAATATGCATGTCATGCCGTTCAATCTTGTTGATGAACCGACTGGGACTCGGACGTGGTGAATGTTGACTTTTTTGTTATGTGAAAGACACGCTTGTGCTTGAGTGAA